CTTAGTTTCTTTGGACAGCAACTGTGTACTTTTAGGACATTTCATACTTGCTTGATTCAACTGACTTTGGTTTCTCATCCCTGAGATACATTCTTTTTTTTATTTTTTTTTATTTTTTACTTTTTGAGAGAGGGTCTCACTCTGGAGAACAGTGGTGCCATCATGACTCACTGCAGCCTTGATTTCCTGGGCTCAGGCAATCCTCTCACCTCAATGTCCTGAGTAGCTGGGACCACAGGTGCAAGCCACTATGCCCAGCTGATTTTTGTATTTTTTGTAGAGACAGTGTTTCACCATGTTGCCCAGGCTGGAACTCTCAGGCTTAGGAGATCCGGTTGCCTTGACCTCCCAAAGTTCTGGGATTATAGGTGTGAGCCACTGTGTCCGGCCTCACTCATTTTTTTACAGGGGCTCAATAGTAGAACTAACCAGATGAAGCAGAACCAGGCATTTACACACTTGAACAGTGGTATAGCTGTAAAGTCCTAGTGTAAAAGTCACACTATATATCTTCTGTAATAATACAAATTTACATAAATGAAGCATCTAATGATATGAATAACAAAGACAGGAAAAATTTGGATCAGAGAGGGCAGAACCTTCAAATTCCTATTGTAGCCTCTTAATTTAAGGTTACCAGCTCCTCCCTGGTGTCAAGGGTATGGTATTATGGGGATTATCTTCCAGACTTTGATTGTTCAATAGATACTGACTTTTCCTAGATGTATTCTAATCAGCTTGACTGTACACATCTTGGGCTACTGGACATTTCAGATTCTCAGCTTCATTTTTTACTACCCACTCCCAAGTACCTAAATGTGAGCAGCAAGAAAGACTGATGTATACTTTACTCCCTTAAGACCTAATTGATAAGTATATTTTCTTACATTTTAGGCTGGGAAAAAAAATCCCACACAAACGTTTATGGCATTATTCTGGGTACAGATTGAAGAAAATTTTCCTGGGTGCACCAAAGTTTAGAAATATAATAGATATGAATATTTGACATCTTTCTGCATTTGTCAATTGTCCAGAATTCTTTGGGCAATTAGTCAATTAGTCAAGACTGATATAAGCAAAGAAAGATGTCCTATATAGAAAGAGGAGGCAAGTCAAATAAGTAATATACTAACTCTAGGTTTTGAGGTCAAGTGTAGTATCCTGTCTTTCCTTCACAAATATGAGACAGACATGATTAAATGCCTCATCTCTAAGTGGGCAAGGTCACAGATTATTGCAAAATATGCCAAACTCAAAGTCTGTACAGATTTTCTCTAACGATTTGGACAAACCCTTCAAGTGGTCGAACTTCATTTCACCAGCAATCTGTCAAATAAAGGAGAATCAACAGATTCTTTTTAATAGACATTGATATATGGTAAAATCTGTTAGTTCTAAATACCTTTGTCCTTGGAATTTATCTTATTTTTGAAAACTAATGGGGAGAAATGAGATTGAAAATACATCTCCGTAATATTTTTAATTGAATATTAAGTCTCTAATACAAACTTAAAGTTTGGTGTCATAGGACACTCATGTCATTCTTTACTATCATCAGTATTAAAAATTTCATTAAACCTTATGGAAGACTAAAAAATCCTTTTATTTTTACATTTTATGCCATATGAGACATGATTAAAATGACAAGTTACCAAATAACATGAATAATGTATTTCCCCTTTATCCAAAGCAAGTGCATTTTGCTCCTAAGAGTGTTTAATCCATTTTCTTTTTCAGGAAGAGGAAAGGAGGGCGATAAAAGGATTTACGGTTAGAACGGGTATTTAATGAAAGGCACATATTTGGCTTGTGATTGTAAAATAACTGCTGTAGTTATTCTGAGTTTAGACAGGAGTCATAGATTTTGACATTAATAAAAGCAAATTATGATTCTGTTAACATTCATATTTACCTCTTTGGGACAGAATTGTTTAAAGTTACTCTGTTTTAAGTCATGGAAAGAGTAGAGTCCGTATTAAGAAACCTTATTTCTGTGTATGTATATAAATGTTTACTTCAGGAAGCACCAGATCTACATTTATAGAATAAGTTTCAAAGAACAGCTTAAAATATCATAAAACTTAGATAGAGAAACTTAAGGTGCCTTCTGCTACTTTATACTCTTTTTCCACTATATTCCACCCCATTCATCAGAGAAAGTGCTAATATGAATGGTCAAATCCCGTTACCATCTTTGGACCACTGGGAGTGGAGCTTTATGGGGAGATGTAGGCAAAAGCCATAGCTCTGTTAAGATTTTAGCCTCCTTGTGTTTGCTTACTCCCCAGCAGCTGGGGCAGATCAATGGCCCTGGAGCTGCATCTTACTTGGGAGGGGCCTCTGCATTGAGAAGGTCAGAAACTAGTACATTAGCCAAACTCTCCTTAGGGCTTCTTTTCATTGGTGCGCTTTTCTCTAGAGGCATCTTTCCATGCTGTCGGGGTGTTAAAAATATCTTGAGGGAAGTAGGATTGGGAGTGAGCATAGGAAAAGGAGACTAAGGCTGTAAATGTCCATCTAGCTCAAGCCTTGTCCAACCCACAGCCCACAGGCTGTAATACAGCCCAAGATGGCTTTGAATGTGACCCAACACAAATTCGTAAATGTTTTAAAAACATTATGAGTTTTTTTTTTGTGATTCTTTTTTATTTTTATTATTACTTGTTTTAGTTCATCAGCTATCATTAGTGTATTTTATGTGTGGCCCAAGACAATTATTCTTCTTCCAATGTGGTCCAGGGAAGCCAAAAGATTGGACTCTCCTGAATTCTGGCTCTTATAGCTCTGTATGGTCCAACTTAGTCCATCAGGAGACCACTTCAGGATTTTTCAGTTGAAGCTCTGGTAAATAATAAAGAGGATACACTTACTTGGCCTTTTCCTCTGTGCGTTTTTCTCTCTCTCATGGACTTAGTGGGGGCAAAAGTGGACACAGTAGGTGATTGCTCAAGACTTCTGGATGTTGGGTTTCACTTCTGTTTGAGTTACTTCTTGGCCAGAGATCTGAGAATACTCTCTTCTTTTTGCCAGAACAAGAGTTCATGGGTACTTTTAAGTAAGACAGTAAGGGATTAGAACTCCATGAGTCATTAGTCAGTCAGGAGGCAGTTTCCCAGAAGTTTGTTAATTCTCTCCTTAAAATACTATTAAGTAATAGTCTGCTGTTAACCACTTTGGTTTCTTAGCCCTCTGGCTGGTGCAATCTTTTTTCTTGAACTGTTCTAAATAACTAAGAAGATTCTGAACACTCCTAATACCTCCGGCCCCTACCTTAAGAGAGATGAACAAAAAGGGGTCTATCAATGGTTAAGCTCCAGGAAAACATCTCACAAAGCTTACCAACAGTTAATGATTCCAGTGACTTTTAAATCTAACATAAAGACAAGGAAAAGACAAAATTCATGATGAAGAATAATATATGCCACAAACTAGGGATTATGATGAACCAATTCTGTGTATTTAACGTGTAACTTAAAAAACTACTTAATGACTTTAAGAAAAAGGAAGGCCTTCAAACGTGTTGTCATTAGAATGTGGCACTAGAGAACCCATGAAAAGAAAACATTGATAATAGCATATTTGCTTGGTATCCCATAGAGTTATGAGGACACTGGGAAGTCTCCTGCTTCTTCCCAGCAGTAGAATACTCAGTACCGGTGAATGTAGAGCAGCCAAGAAAGAATTGATGGGTAACTGATATTCTTGAACTTCAAACGGAATATTTCTTTAATGCTGACAAGGAGAAAACAGATAACACAGTCCAGAACTGACTGTAATAGTTTTTCTAAATGCAACCAGCATGAAGAATGATGTTCTATAGGATAAAATAGAAGACATCTTGGCACTGGGTGATGCCATCTAATTGCAGAGTTCAAATTGCTTTAGAATCTCTGAAGCACCAAAACAAGGATGTAAAACATATTCATAATATGTGTCTTCATAAGTCCTGTACTTTCAAAATGAATCTAAGCCTTTGGAATAAGAGTAAAAATAACCACCTGAAATTTTTATAAAAATAAAGAATAATCATGAAGAGGGTTACTCACAAATGGGATTCATCTTGCTCTTTATTCAAGTGGAAAATTCTTCCTTTCACTGACACATTTGCCAAACCATTCCATTTAATGTAGGAAACACCACTTTGTTTCTTCTGAATTGCTAAAACTATTGTACTCTAAAATCCTGTAGCTGAGGTTTAGCTGTACTCAATTTGCTTGTATAAAATATACAATACATCATTTTAAATCAACGTTAAAATGCATTAATGCTTTTAACCCTTCTAAGTACAATTGCTTCCATAAGGAATTTTTCCGTGAATTATCTAGTTCAGATTGTTTGAATAGCATTTTGAATTTCCTTTCCTCTTTAATTTCAGAACTTATATGTTTTTGTGTCATTCACAAATCAAAGCTTCAAAATATTGAAGTTTTGGGGTAAAGACATTTAAAGATATTTCTTCAAAATGTTTTGTTGGAAAAACATAGATATCACTCATTGTATTACAATACAATTCACACTTTCCTAAGGAAACAAAATCACAAATTTCACAAGAGCTGTCCAATGGAAGCAAATTCAGGTTCAAAGAGATGAGAAGAAAAGAGTGATTTTGCATTCAGCATATATGATCTGTTGCGGCAACTGTGAATTCCTTATTTCTGCCAGCTATAGCTCAGTAAAGAAATGGATGCTATTGTGAAAGTCATCCCCTGAAAACAGAGATGAGAGTAAGTAAATGAGTAGAGTTGATACAAATTCAAGTCATTTTGCAAAGGATTTTACATTGATGGATTACAAGATGAATTCTCACAAGTTGGCAAGGTTTTCTAAAGTCTAGCTTTTATGAATATTGTTTGAACAAGTGGTGTAGAATTCAGTCTATGCTCTGTGAAATAACATGATTTATTATTATTATTATTTTTACCAAGTTGGAATTGTTTAGAATCACCAAATAACAGGATTCAAAAGTAAAACAGCTGAAAAATCCAACAGTCTGGTCTAACCTGGGATGCTCTGTCTCCTCACAGCCAACGCTCCATCAGGCGGCTTTGTCTGGCTGGCGGATTTAGTGTAGGGACTCTCATCTGCAAAGGTACAATGAAGCGTTTGGTTAATTTCCATCCAGTTTCTAACGCAGTGAAGATTTTTAACGGATTGCAATCCTTCTGCGAGAGAGAAGTGGTACAGTACAGTGGAAAGTGTTGGTAGGCCTGGGTCCTATACTTGGGTTAGCTGTGCGATCAATCTTTGAAAATGTTGTGAATATGTTTCTTCCCTTATAAAAGAGAGAGAAAATTCTCATCTACTTCTTAGGGTTGTCAGGATCAAAAGCTATAGTGCTCATGAAGATGTTTATGAAATGGTAAGAAGTATGCAAATAGAGTATACAAATTATTTGTCACCTACATTCATTGATAAGTAAGTACCAGTGAATAGGTGTAACAAAGACAAAGAAGAAATAAAATGGCTCAATGGGCACTAAGAATAATCAGGTAGAAGAACAAAGAAAGTAAAAAGAAAGGCAATATTTCAGATAAGCAGATGACAGAGTTAGTATTGCAAGGGAAATAAAGCCACTCAGAGTTAGTAGGTTCCTCCTGGGAGTGTGAACTGGCAGCCAGTGCAAAGCAGAGGGATAGAGATGTTCGGAGGGAAGACCAGAGGAGCTAGGTTGAGAATAGGGAAGGAATGATGGTTTGGCAAAAGAAGACATATATTGCAATGAGCTGGTTTGTGCTCTTTTAGAAAGAGATGAAAATAACTTGCAGAATTATTAAAAGAGCAACGGAGAAGACAGAAGGTCTAAAGCTTAATGGATCTGTGAGAGTTAGGCAAGAAGGTGAATGATTAAAACAGTAGGTGACAAGATCATGGAGACAATGGGTCCATCCAGTTCTAAGTAAGGTGATTTTTTTTTTTTTTAACTTTGAAAATGATTTTACCTGACTAGGAATAAAGGAGCAGTGATCTAGGATGGCAAATACTAAGGCTAAAATAAAGGACAATTCTTCCTAATTGGGATGGGAGCATTTATAAAAAGTAAAAGAAATGTGAATAACAACCTTAAAAATTTCAAGAATAAGATGTACATGGCTTGAGTAAATAGAATGTAAAATAATTATCTAGCATATTCAGTCCAGCTAGATAACCTAAATGTCACTGCTGGCCACACTGTAAGATGTATTATTGTTGTTGTAACCATTTTATAATAGCAGGAAATCATTAAAGAATTTAAAGAAGCCATATTGTACATGACAAACTATTACACATAACAAGGATTTATTCAGAACAAGGCTTTATCATCTGAGAACATTAATTCTCCCAACTGAATGGCTTGTGTTTCAAAATTGAGGAACTCATTTCCTCTCTAGGATGAACTTCTGGTTTGAAATGATTCATGATTTCTTCATAAAACTAACAAGGTCTTTATACGCAATGACAAAAGGAAAAGATTAACACTGCTGTAAGTGGCAATTAACTTAAAAAATAGAAGTCATGCTGTTTCACGTTTATATTTAATTTGTCACACAATTTTTTATATTCTTCCAACCATAAAGATAAACTACCAACTTTCAGATAACAATTCAATCAACACCATTTTTGCTTTAGAAGTGGTATCTTAGGTCTTCGACTCTTCTCTTTGCAAACACCATTTTGAGTATAATTAAAACCCACAAAACAAAATACAAAATGTAAACATCACACTATAAAAGTCTCCCTTTGCTCCACCATTGTCACTTGAATATTTGAGTGTTTTTCTCACAGTGTTAATAATACAATATGCTTCATTTAGTACCTTTTAAAACAAATGTACTATGTATTAAAGCCGGGGATTCTTTATAAGACTGCTTTAAAAATGTATTTCCTTTCATTGTCCAAAACCTTGAAACGGTGTATTTATGAGCATAGAGCACTAAGCCAGGAAATAATCACAACAACCAGGCTTAGGTATGGCATCTTGGAAGCCTAAAAGCTTTCCTCAGTGTTCTATTTGTCAAGATTCCAGCCAATTAAAGTCTTGAGTTGAATCCAGTGTTGGCTTTTTATAAAGGGCAATAAGAGATTTACCCAGGAGACTCTGGGGTTATCTGCACTTGATGCTCTATTTTAAGGAGCTATTTCTTTAGAAATGTACCCAGTTTGCATTTCAGAAGTAGTCAACCCTGGTAAAATGGTTTTCTCATTTATATTTGAAAACAACTTCCTTGATTTAGAACTGAGATAGTCTAGTTGAGCACATCCTTAAAAGGTTGAAACTGAATTATAGATGACCACCTGGCCAGCCTCTCCATCACCACCCCCAACTGCTCCCAATATCAAGAGTGACCTTACTGAGCACAGGCGAAAGTAAATAATTATCTAGAAGCCAAATCTTGTATTGGTTAAAGGACCAGAATGAAAAAGTTCAGTGCTATCTAATGTTGTCTAAGCGGCATTATTGCTTTCACCCTGATTGCCAAAGCCAATCACGCCAAAGCCTATCAGTGTGAAAGCAATAATTCCTAATGGAAGGGAGGCAGAGGCTTGGCAACATTGATCATCAGAGCTAAGGAGGGCATAGCAGCAGAGCAGCATGGCACAATATAACACTTGGTTTTTAGAAGACTTTCCTGAAGAGTGTCTTTTTATTTTAAATACCTTAGAGGCACCATGGTCTTTTATAAAAAGCTGCCCATCACAGAATGAACACCAGCTCTCTTGACGTGATTTACTGAAAGTCAGCTCTAGATTTAAACTTGTTTGAAATAGAAATGGATAAAACACACTGAATGAATCTGTGGCTGATGGCTCCACAGTAGGATACTAAAGGACAAGAGTGTCCAGAGTGCATTTCTAATCCTTGAGCATAAAGTGATGGAGAACTACGGCGGCTTCTATCTTCTCTTGTGTCCCTAAATGCAGCTTTATAGATATATCCCTAGAATTTCATGCTTATAAGGGATAATCTTTTTTTTTTTTTTTTTTTTTTTGAGACAGAGTCTTGCTGCGTCGCCCAGACTGGAGTGCAGTGGCCGGATCTCAGCTCACTGCAAGCTCCGCCTCCCGGGTTCACGCCATTCTCCTGCCTCAGCCTCCCGCGTAGCTGGGACTACAGGCGCCCGCCACCACGCCCGGCTAATTTTTTGTATTTTTTAGTAGAGACGGGGTTTCACTGGGTTAGCCAGGATGGTCTCGATCTCCTGACCTCATGATCCGCCCGTCTCGGCCTCCCAAAGTGCTGGGATTACAGGCTTGAGCCACCACGCCCGGTTATAAGGGATAATCTAGACCATTCTTTCATTGTAAATAGAACTGAGGCCCAGAAAGATAAATTTACAGGAGGACACACATCTAAATTGAGTCTAGATGGAATTTCTTATATTCTTAGTCCCATGTTCTTTCTTCATTTCCTTTTAGATAGACGATAAGATTTCATAGGCCATTGGGTCCACATGTTGCTGTGTCACAGGAGTGAGTGATTGGGCACACTGTACTAGCAGAGACCTTGTATGGTGTAAGTTAATTGCTACAGTGAAGCCTTTGAAAATGAGCCTGAGCCACATAGCCAATTATTTTTGTGTATATATACATCCCATTCTTCCCTCCTCCACATATTTGTTGCCTAAAGCAAACAACAGTTACAAATGGTACTACCGAACTAATTTATGCTTTTCAGTTCATTTCTTTGAAGATAAAATTTAAAAGCAACGTCAATATAGCTCATTGTTCCCCAGGATGAGCCTTAAAAGAGTCACTGAATTATAAGATTTATGTTAATACTTTTCCTTTGTTTCATTGAAGAGATACTAAATAGGCTTTCAAGTTAAATCCAGATATATCAATAAACAAAAAAAGGTCAAATGACAAGGAAAGAAATCAATCAGAATAGTACCTAGCACATCGTAGGCTTTCACTAAACGTTTGCTGATAGAATATGTGAATTAATTATATTCACTTTTTCAAACAAGAGCATTTGTTGTAAACAAAGAACATGAAGAAAGTCAAACATTTGTTATAAGCTATATTCCCTCCTACTTCTGCTTTTCTTTTTCTAGGTTGATAGCCTATTCCTTTTAAAGTCACATTATCATCCAATAGCTATTAAATATTGACGTAATATGAAAAATCTGACCCTTTATAAAACGGTTATCAACATATATTTCCTTTCATTTTCATTCAGACTGTAGAATGACTGATCAACCTTTAAAATAATGTCTTTAAACAAAAGAATTATGATTTTCATAGCAGACTCTCAGCCCAGACTTGGATGATCATATTAACCAGGGATTCTCACTAAAAGTCACTACAGGGGAAAGCAGACATTCAGTTAGTGAGCTACTTGCTCACTGAAATGAATGCTTCAAGCAATCATTAAGGGCATCTCAGGGTATCAACACTGCCAGCCTTTCCTAACAACATCTTAGCAGCTAGGTAATCACCGTCACACATGATGGCCCTTCACAGGGGCTTACCTGTTGGTCACAATAAAGAACATGGGTCCCTTTAGAGTGACATCTCATGAGGCTAGGGAAAAATGCCCTCCATTAACAGGGAGAACTGACATGGTGACAAAGGCACCGAAAGCGTTAGTCAAGCATATACTTAAAGCAGAAGAAGAACAAAAAGGGGGACCATCTGTCCCTCTCATTCCCCCCAGTTTGGCCAGTTTCCTCATGTGCCAAACACAGGAGGGGCAAACACAGATCATTTGTTTTGATCACATGAAGCTGGTGTTTATAAACTTGGAAAGCCACCAGCGGGCACCTAAGGAGCAATGCTTCACTATGCATCACAAACCGCCTGTGCTGGAGCTGGGAGAGTCACATCATGAGGAAGGGACTCAGGTCCCCTCATGCTCTCAAATCCTCCAACGTTTGCTTGGTATCAAACAGCATCCTTGTGTCACCAGGCTGGTTCCTGTTTCTCCATTTCCTGAGACTCTCATTTCTCACTCTGGGCTATGCAGAGGAACCCGATATGAATATGGTTTCAGGAATCTCTAGCTGTGTTCAAAGCTTTGCTGAAGAAAGGAAATTTAATTTCCTTTGGCTGAGACTAATCAGCGTATGCTAAACAATTCTTAGCAACTAATTATGCACAACTG